TCTAATATTATTAGGTAACAGCAGTGCTGTTGTCTACCATGCCAACTGTTATGCCCTTTGCTGCTTGTGTTTCATTACTACCTAAGAGGCCCTGGTCCCAAGCCAGGACCCTGTTGTGCTAGGCATGGCTCAAATGAACATCTTTAGAGCAAAGAGCTTACAGTGTTTATGGTACTTTTGGTTTATAATGTATCATTTGTAACAACAGCTACTGTTAAAGCTTTAATTTATTTAGATAGTAATTTTGTTGGTTGTTTCTTTTATACTTTAACAAAGTAGCTTGAACTCAAACAGCTGTTTGCTGTACTGAACAGCCTGTAATAAAACCAATGAATATCTGATCTTTGTACTACGTTGAACAGCACAAAATGGTTGATAGCATCATTAGGTTCTCTTTAGCTACTCACTCAGCCTTTCATAGGAATCAAATCCACATACGTTGGTAGGAAAGTAAAGCGTAAATAGCCCCCTCTGTGCATTAACACAAGCTTTTCTTCTTTTAAAATTAAAATGTATTCTGCATTTCCTTACAGTATATCGCATTATGTCTACCTGAAAGTTTCCAGATTAAAAAGTCATGCATTTTTTCCCTGAAAAACAAAACAAAACAAATTTGTTGAAAATTTTGCATGATTTTGTGCCTTCCTTAAAAAAAAAAAAAAAAAAAAAAAAAAAAAAGCCACCAGGAAAAAGACATGATTTTCCCAGCTTTATTAACTGAGGTGAGGTGTTAACACCTCATCCACCACATATCATATTGCTTGTAGAGAAACTTTATGCATGTTAATTATCTCTGGACAGACCTGGACTTCTTAGGAACTTCATAGTTCTGATTTGCTGAATTAATTGCAGTTCATGTTGGATCTCACAGTATTTCTTCTGCTCCTGAGCTAGGTAAAGCCCAGCACCACATGGCATTTCCAAGATGGCTGCTGGCACTCCCAGCACTACAGCTACACTCAGCTAATAGGGAAACTGGTGGCTTGTAGGAGTGCCTGCAGGAATCATAGAAAACAGCTGGCACATACTCTTTAAACATGCTTTCTCCTTGCGTATGATATTTAAGAATAATTATTTGCACAAACAGTCTCCTTTGAAATAAGGTTTTATAGAAATTACTCTAAAGACTCTAAAGAATAAGACTAGGGAACAATGTATTTTCTGCAGGCTTCCTAGTTGTGATAGCAGTTCAGTAGCTGGGTTGTAATTGCTGTATTCTATGAGATCATTTAGCTGAAAATGCTCAAGAAAAAATGCAGTTATTTTTATCAACTTGCACAGGACTTTTCAGTTAGGAAAGTGGGTCTTTACTCAGCTCTGGAGTCTGTGTTTTGGCTTCCTCACCAGTTTGTAGTCCCCCCCCTCCTCCCCCCCCTTTTCCAACAGGTTTCCCTTTGTGTATTTCATTGCAGCTGCTTCTGTCTTTCCCATTTCAGGTAGTTGGTTCTGTCATCTGCAGTGCTGTCAACCCAGATTTCTCTGAACTCCCTTTCCCCATAATGTCTCTTCTTCCTTATTTTTTTTTTCCCCCAAAGGAATTGATCATGCATCAGAGAGGGAACTCTAAGGATGTAAGGATGAAGAGTGAGATAGAGGATTTACCAGGCAAAAGAGTGGGACTGGATAAAAGACGAGTCACTGACATTCTTGAAATGTAACAGACAGAACTGGAAGGGATAGGTGTTTGTTTTTAAATCACGTTTAATACCAGCTACTGTTATAATTCAACTTTTTAATAATGTTTTCCTTAGAGTATTTTGATCAATATTGCCAAATTATTGCCAAACGGGCTTATTTGCTGCTTTTGGGACGGGCCTTTTCTTGTATGTACAATGTGATCTGCAACTCCTGATGGCTTCAGTTGGAGCTCCGACTTCTGAACCCCCGTGATGTTTCCTTGAAGAACTCAAATATAAAGACTTCTTCCCACTCTCTCCCTCACATGACTCACTGATAACAGAGCCCTCATATCTAACGCAAGCGGACGCATAAAAGTGCACTAATTTGCATTTATTTGTGTTTCAGAGTTTAAAAAATCCATTTATGGGATGATGTAGCAAACCAGAGCAAACCTTCCTGTTGGGGTCGCTGCGACTCTCCCGGTCCGTAACCCTCCCTCACGGTCAGCACCGCAGCTGCTCCGGGGGGCGGCGACGCTCCGCGGGGCTGCGCGCTGTTACGCCCGGAGCGACGGAGCTCCGACTTGCAGACACGCTGGGAAACGGGCACACGTGGTACGCTGCTACTTTGCTCCCAAACGGTTGGCTGTCTGAAAATCGACATATTTTACAAAGGTATACACATACACCCCCCCCAGAAAAAGTTTTCATTGTCATCTGATGTTTCTTCCGTAACTGCTTTCCCTTGCCTTGCCGGTGAGCAGGTGAGCGACCAGGTGCGATTGGCAGTGGCTGATGAATGGCAGTGGAACGAGCAGGTAGCAAATAAGCCCTTAGCCTGAAAGCTGTTTGTGTGGGAGACTGGATTCCTTACAAACCACCGCGTGTTCTGCCTGGTTTGTTGAATATACGCATACATATTTATACATGAAAAAATCCACATTATCTATATAAATACGCAGCTATCCCGTGTCAGGCAGTGATATTTGGACAACTGCAGTTTGGGTGACCAGCAATAGGGGAGGTTAGCATAAATTAGCATAGCCAAACACGGTTCCTACAATTATAAACTGACAATGTAAAGTTTCAGCAATTTGGTGTTGATGGTAAAACAATTTGGGACTAATCTATGTGAAGGAGCAGCTTTCTCTCCTTCAGGTGAATAGTTCTCGGTTTTTTTTTTTTTCTTTTTCTTTTTTTTTTCTTCAGTCTATCTCTTTCAATTCTAACATTGGAGATTTTTCTAGTAATAACAAAGCAGGAGCTGTTAATTGCTCCGCGGACAAGCGGATCCGACCGGGTACAGCTCGTTGAAGTTCTGTTCCCATCAGCTGCGCTTATTCTCGGAGAACTCCAGTATTTATTGGGTCTCCAGCCGTCCCGCGGCAGTCAGGGAAGTTGGCTGTGTCAAGCAAGTGAATACTGCTGGATTTAAAGAAATAAAAGTATCTCCCACAAGCAGATCGCTAAAACTGAGGCTACTGAACTGCCTGGAGAAAGTTACGTGTACTGAAACAAAACGCACCGCATGGGTAGATGCGACTCTTTCTGGTCGGGATTTGTAGGCAACAGGCGGTTGTAAGAACCGTATTGAGGAGACCAGTTCAGCCAAACCTGCCCTCCCTAAGCTTTTCTGTTTGGTCTTTTCGGGTTTGTAATGAGTCTTAAATCAGTTCTGGCGTTTTGAACCCTTTTCGAACTGCGCGGATTGTTTCCCGCGGATAGGTAACGCGCAACGAGCTGAAAAAGCGTTTTAATTCGAAGGCGCTGCTACTTTAGAGCCGCATCTTCTTTTGCAGCCTTCCCCATTAACAGCGCTGCGTGCTCCAAACTTTGATATCAGTGCGCGTGCCGCCGCCAACAGAGCTCCCGAAACGGTAACGTGCCCGAACCGATGCCTAAGCGCAGGTCGGTGGTGCTGCTGAAGTGGCAGCGCCCGCGTGTCACCGTGCCGGGCAGCAGCGGGACGACGGAGCGGAGCGGGACGGGGCACCGCTGAGCGCAGACACCAGCGCCGGAGCGGTGCGGAGCTCCCGCCCTCCGCCACACAGAACAGCGCGAAAAGAAACTTGTCCCGGCTGCGGCGGGTGCCGTGCTGACAACTGTGCAACGAACGTCCCCGCCGCTCGCATTTGCAACGGTGTTAGCGGTACGCTCCCACGCCTCCCGCCCCGCTCGCGGAGCTGCCGGCCCGTGCCCGCTGCCATCCGCCGGGCCCGGAGTCGCTTCCCTCCGCCGGCACTCTCTGGCCGGGACCACCCTCGCAGGAACCGCCGCTTCTCCGGGTCGGTTCCCCCGTTTCGAACTGAGCCGCGCTGCGCTGCGCGCACGCCGCGTGGCCGGAGAGTCCCGGCACGGCGCGCAGGTGAGCGGTGGGGCGCTGCCTCGGGACGGCCGTTGGCCGCTCGCTGCTCCGCGCCCCGTCAGCGGGCGGCCGGCGCGGGACAACGGCTCCTAACGACCCGCAGGTACGGCATGAAATGGGGCTGAACGGGGCGAGGCCGAGCACCTGCCCAGGTAACTCGCTCTTCGGGCTCCTGCCTCCTTCCCGACCGCGGCCGGCGCGCAGTGCACGGCGGCTTTGGGGCGACAACGAAATCCGGGCGGTGGAGGCTCCAGGTGCGGACCTCGGCCCCGCGCCGTTTCGGGCCACCCCTCGGCTTCCCCCCGGGCCCGCGTCCCCCCGGCGGCCGTCCCCTCTGAGCGCTGCGGGACGAGACCCGCCGAGGCGCCGTGCCGCCGGCCCGATGGCCGCGCCCGGCGGCGTGAGGCGGGGCGGTCGGCACCTCCCGAGCACGGATACCCCCGCCGGCACGGCGAATCCGCTCGCCAGCGGAGTGCGAAGCCGGCGGCGGGGTCGGGGGTTGGAGTAGTGCCTCCGCCCGTGGGACGCGGCGGGGTGAGGGGTGGCGGCGGGCAGCGCCCGGCGAGTGCTCCGGAGGGTGACAGGGGCGGGCGGTGAGCGACGTCGGGGGCGGCCGTGCCGCTCTGCGCGGGGATGGGGGCTGCGGCCCCACAGAAAATGGGGTCCGTTCCCCACCGTGGGGCGTCTGCCTCTGGTCTGAGAAAAGCTATTTGAAATAGCGAGGCCGCATAGGGAGGGTCTCTGCCCGGCGTCCCTCCCGCGCTGCTTGTAGGTAAGCGCCGGAGCTTGGAGCTGAGGGGCGGCCCGGGAGCGCTCGCTCCGCCAGTGGGCGTTCTCCGGAGGCCGGGGCTGGCGGCGGCACTGCGGCGCTTCTCCCTGCCGCCCGCAGCCGCGCACGCACGTACGGGGCAGCGGTGGCACCGCTGGAAGGAAACGCGGATCGCTTCCTTTTTTCTTTCTTTCTTTTTTTTTTTTTTTTTTGGCTCTGTACGTGAGGTGGGAGCATGAGGACCGGAGGACTTTAAAAAAGAGGATCGGAACCGCTTCTCGCTCGGCGGCGCCGCGTCCCCCTCCGGCCTAAAGGGGGACCGGGATGTGAGCGCTCGGGGGCGGGAGCCGCGCTGCGGAGGAGACCGTGCTCGGGGCCGCTGCGAGGGAGCTGAGGGCCGAGAGGCGGCGGCTGCCTCTCGCCGCGTTCCGTCCTCTCTCGGCTTCTCCCGTTCCCGGCGCGGCGCTGCGCCGCCTCTCCGGCGTCCTGCCTTAAACTGCCGCGCAAGGGAGGGCCGGGCGGAAGCATGTCCAACCCCGAGGAGCGGCTCTCATCCCGCCCCCCGGCCCCCCTGGCTGCGGCGCCCGGGGAAAAGCCCGGCTCCGGCCGCCGCCCGCCCCACTCTCATGGCCGGGGCGGCGGAGGTGGAGGCAGCGGCGGGTCTCCTCCCCCCCCCGCGCCCGGAGGCAGCTCGGTTGCCCGCAGCTCCCTCGCTCTGCTCCTGACAGCCGCCGCCGGCAGCAGCAGCAGCGGGAGCCGCGCTGCAGGGACTGCCCCCGCCGCCTCCGCCCGCATCGGCCCCGCAGCGGCGGCGGCTCCTCTCCGCGCTCCAATCCCCTCCTTCTCCTTCGCTTCTCCATCTTCGTTTTACTTCTTGCCGCCGCCTCCTCGTTTCCCCTCCTCGTCTTCCTTTAACCTCACGAGTCTCCAAGGGAGGGAAGGAGGAGGAGGAAGAGATGCTAGCGGAGCGGCGGCGGCTCACTTGATCGCCCATCCAGGCGGCGGCGGCGGCAGGAGGAGACTCTTCTCTTCTCCCTCCATCCAGGGCTCGCTGTTCCGCTCCGCGGCCGCCGGCCCCCGGCAGCACCATCCGCGGCTCCTCCTCCCCGCGGCCGCCTCTCGCCCGTGGTCCTGCGCTTTCCTCGGCGCTGCAGCGGCGGCCGCCCGCGGCGACGGGATCCGAGGAGGCGACGGCCCCGGCGGGAGCGGGACTTCGCGGCGGCTGCGAGGCGCCTTCTTCTCCTTCTCGTCTCCCCTGCTCCCGGGGCCAGACATGGAAGATGGATCTAATTCTGCCAGCTGCTTCAGGAGGTTTACGGACTGTTTCCTGAACACAAGTAGGTACCGGGGCGGGGAGGCGGCTGGGGGGGGTGGGCTCGGGGCAGCGCGTTCCTTTGTGAGCGGGGACACAAAGGGCCGGGCGCGAGGAGGATGCGCGGACAAAGGGATGCGCCGTGCGGCAGCCGCCTGCTGGCGCCGCCTCGGCCTCGGCCGGAGCTCCGCGGGCGCGTGGCAGCCCCGCACCTGGCGCGCGTCTCATCGCTGCGGAGCGGGGCGCGGGGACCCGCCCCGACCGCCGGAGGTGGCCGTAGGGAAGCGTTAGGCTAAAGGCACCTGGCTGAAGAACGGCGGCGGAAGACCGGGAAGGGCGAAACGTGCGGCACCGCACCGTCCTCTGTTAGCCCGCTGCTACGCGCGAGCTGCTCAGCGTTTCCGAGCCGGCCGCGATGCCGAGCGCGGCGAGCGGGGAGCAACCGTGCGGGGCTCCGCGCTGCCCGGGCCGCGACGGGCGGGGAAGGAGCGGTGAGCGCGGCGCTGCCGCCTTCTCTACGGCGCGTGGCAGAGAGCCGCGCGGAGCGCCCCGGGCCGTGAGGCCGGCTCGGCCTCGGGGAACGCCTCGGAAAGTGCCGGCTCGGGCCGCGGCCGCCGGCTCCTAGGTTGTCCCGGAGGGCTCGACCCGAGTCGGCCGCTGGGGCTGGGGCTCACGCAGGGCGGGCACCCGGGTGTGCGTTGTGGACGGGCAGCTCCGGGGGCCGCTACGACTGCGGCGTTTGGCGCGGGCTCGGGGCCGAAATAAATGTGATAGTGAACCGCCGGTGTCCCCGTGTCTGGGTGCTTGGGGTGACCACGCTCAGCTGTTTCTTTCTTTTTCTTTTTTTAAACTGACTATTTCCTAAATCATAGATTTATGCCTTGAAGTGTCCCTAAACTTACATCTTAATACGTGTGCACATTGTCACTTTTATTAGGCGGCTTTTTTGTTACAGGTGAAACCGCATTTAGTTCTCAAATGCATGTGGGTCTGGTGGACGTGAGGAAAAATACCAGTGTGTCAGCTGGACCTCACTATTTGCCTTATTGCTTAATAGCTTCCTTAAAGAAGCACAGTAGTACTTGTTCTGTTATCTGGTGGAGGCGTGTAAAGATAGACATGTACATGCTGCTTTGTCTTATTGAAACCGTCTGCAATAGTTGATTGCAGCTGACCTCATTATGGCCTTCCAATATTTAAAGGGAGTTTATAAACAGGATGGTAATCAACATTTTATGTGGGCAGAGAGAGATAGGATAAGGGGAAATGGTTTTAAACTAGAGGAGGGGAGATTCAGATTAGATGTCAGAGGGAAGTTTTTTGCTGAGAGTGATTTTTGAGAGTGATGAGGTGCTGGAACAGGTTGTCCAGAGAGGCTGTGGATGCCCCGTCCCTGGAGGTGTTTAAGGCCAGGTTGCATGGGGCCCTGGGCAATCTGATCTAGAACTTGATCTAGCGGCTGGCAACCCTGCCCGCAGGAGAGGGGCTGGAGTTTGATGATCTTTGAAGTCCCTTCCAACCCAAGCTATGATATTTGTTAGTTTCAAAGCCTAAAGTGATCCTTAAGCGCCCCCAGTTTTTATGCTCCATTTCTGAGAGGAGTGGAGTGCCAGTTCCACCTGCATCACAGCTCCGGTGATGTAAAATAAGCAGTCCTTGGGAGCGTGCTGGAGACTGTGTGTTGTGTGGAACGGTTCTCTCTTACACTAGATCAAGACAAAGAAGGCACAGAAAGCATCAGCTCTATTCAGAGCACCGTTTAAAAAGTAGTGATTACACTTTCAGTGTAAGCTTTTCTGTGCACACTTGAGTGGAAGAAACCTGGTTATCTTCAGTTGGCTGTGACCTCTGGCTGGAGTTTTTCCTGTGGGCAGGAGAGCAGCAGCACGATTCTTTCACTGGGATTTCACTGGCATCCAATAGGATACACAGACTGTCCCTCTGGGGAGACACTGCTCTGTGTGCTGCAGCCTGTTCTCATGAAACTTTCAACGACCCAAGTGCCTGCTATTTCTGCTCTTTTCTCAGATGTGATTGAAATTGGCTGATGGGCTGAGAAGGTGTCAGCGTGGTCAGACAGGCAGACATCCACGTGTGTGCATACACATATCCGTCAGGCTCCTGCCCGCACCAAGTGATTGCATAAATCTGATTTCCTTTAGGAAACCAGACTGTCAAAAGAGGAGTGGAGGAAAGTCAGACAAGATAGCCTCCTGTTCAGTTACAGTAAGCATTTGTCCAGCTGCTTGTAGTGCCATGCCCAGTCCTGCTACAGGGCAGCTGGGAGACCGCTGTTGTTTGCAAGGTAAGATCATAGGGAGTAATGAAGGTACTGTGCTGCATCTCATCACTTCTGTTTCTTGAACTGTTTTATAGAATCCAGATCATACACATATGCATACACTACTTCACTCTAAAGATTAAAAAAAAAAAAAAAGTCAAAATATTTTTCACAGAGGAAAACTGAAGAGTTCTGTAGGGAACTGAGATGAGCTCTTGGGGAGGGAAGTCTTAAAAGGGACCTAGCAGAATCTTCACAACAGAAAACAATGAAGTTGCTCAAGGTGTGTTCCTCTTGCCTGACCTCATTTGACTTGCGCACGCTCAAATCAGGATTTCATCACCAGGTTACTGATTCTAGTAAAATTTTAGATTCTGCAATACTCCCTATGTGCCATGTGTGACTTTTTTTCCTCGAGATTGACCTAAACGTGGGGCTGCAGAGGCTTATATGAACTGTGTGCGGTGTTCTTAATTTTATTCAGGTCTGTGATTTTGTACATGACATGGTGTTCTGGGAAACATAGAAAGTCTACCATCCTGGGCCAGTTGTTTACTGACGTTCTGCCACACCTGGGGCACTGCAGGTTGCCAGGCACACCAGGGCTTTGTGATGCGTCTTGCTTCCAAGGCAGTGTTCCACGTTCCTTCTGTGCAGAAGATCTCGCGAGCCACACATGTATAGCAAATTTAATCCATTAATCCTGTGTGAGTATTTTACGTTATGGGGGTGCCTGCTTGTTGGGAGTATTATCAGCGTATTGATATTTTATATGGAGTTGTTCATCTGCTCTTTTAGCAATGCAGCGTTTCCTGCAGCTACCAGTAACAGGTGCCAAAGGCTTTGAGATGGAGTGAAACTAAGAGTAGAGGCAGTAATAGCTGTAATTGCAGGAGAAAATAGCGATGAAAGGTTGAATAAAGTGAAAAGTATTCTTGTTACCTGAGGTGGTGGGAAAGTAAATCTTGGCTTGACCCTTTTTTTTGGTCTGTGTCTTTATTACTTGCAGTCAGGGTTGTCTTAGCCGACTGATGATCTCCAGCAATGAAGCTCTTGTAGACAGAGTCTGTTTTTGCAATTAAACCATCCTTAAAATTTAGATGCTGATGCAGAAAACAGAATGGTCCTTAGCTCTGTTGGTTAGAGAAGCATGGCTAAAGCTGAGTGTAGTTGCAGTGGTGAGGTTGTTCGGCAGCTGTCAACGAGGTGGCTGCTTTGTAACACCCTGTTAGGAAGGTGTAGGATCACCATGTATCCTAGTCAGAGGCACTCCTGTTTCAATTAAAGGGTGAATGGGCTCATGCGTACATGCAGACCACGGGGAGTGGTATGGAAGGTGAGTCCACCCTGTGCGAACACATGCACTTCACAGCACAGGAGCGTTGGTGAGTTTGGTATTTATACAAATGGTTGTCCATGAAGCATGCAGTTTACTTATGAAATAACTAATCCTTTGTCCTATAGTCTCCTCTGCTCTGCTGTCACTGTTTGCCTGACAGCCTGGGGGCATGTAGTGCTTGTAGCCTACAAAGGAGGAAAGCCTGCCCGGTTGGTTCAGTAAACTTACTCCTGGCTTCAGGTGAACTAGCAGGACAGTGCATGCATGGGCTTTAGGACATGGTCTCTGTTACTTTTGAGAGGGGTGTGACTGCTCATCTCAGCCTCCGACCACCCGTTCATGTCCTCCCTCCTTTTATTGGTGTTTCAGCCATCAGCTGCACGTGGTGAGAACCTGAAAAGTGTAAACATGGGTTTTGCATTATAATAGAAATACACTAGATGTACTTGTCTCTCAATTCTTGAAACATAACTTTCGTTTTAGATTTGTAAAATAAGAATGTGAGTTTCTTTGTCTGTGGGTTTACAAGCTGGAAATGGTTTATGCAGCTTGTTGACTGATGTTTCTTCTTGCTTGTGATAAAACTTGTCTTTCAGTTTGGCAGAGCTAATGCGAGCTAGTTTTTTTTTTAGTGTTCCTTGGAAGCATATTGTACTTTCCAGTCATTATGTTTAATACTTGGTATTAAAAACATGTAAGTTGAGTTTTGCACTTCTTACATTATTCCTCTGAAAGAAAGCAAAAATTGCAAGAAAAACAAAATATAAAAAGAGCCATTTGTATTTTTTATTTCATTTTTATGCTCCCTCTGCTGGCCGTTTCAATTACGAGTACCTGTGCTCAAACTTTGTTGCTACATCTGCTTTTCCTTTACTGCTTTACCAAATGAGCAGTACCACGTGTTGATTTGGATTGGTATTTAAAATACAAAACCACCTAGAACTGTTAAATGAAGACAGACTAGTTGCAGGAATTAAGAATTTGACACCTGTTTTATGTTGCAACATTTTCATTTTTGTCAAATCTTATATTGACTTGAACTCTAAAAACAACTGATTTTTTTTGTTGCTGTTGTTGCATGGGCTGCATTTTCAGTAGTGTGTAGATCAGAGGAGTAGCAATTCATATATTGTTCCAAAATATTTGGTTGTATATCCCATTTGTTGTAACAGCCATAGCAAAATTTAAATAATTTCGCAATGTTTTCGTAATGCTGAGAAGTGCCTTTTTATCATTCAGCCATTTGACTTCTATCTGTGTAAGTAGCTATAATGCTGCAGCTCAGGCATTCTTAATGGGTAATTTTGCGAGATGCTGATTTTAGTACACTGCTGTACAGCAATATCCATCGAGAATGTTTACTGCACTCAGAAACTGTAATTCCTGAGAATTTAAGAGAGCAGGT